TAATTATTAAAAATATATGTGGATGAAATCTTCAAGAAAGAGATCAAGGATGTCTTGATTCAGTATGACAGATCTCTGCTGATTGCAGATCATCGTAGCTGCGTGCTCAAGATGTTTGGGGCCCTGGAGCTGGTACCAGATGCCTGAAATCTTACCGTTAATATTAGTGCTGATAATGTGCAAGAGACAATTAATTACCTTTCTCAAAACAAGAGCACAACTTCCGGAATTTGATCTTGTTCATATAGTTAGTTGCTTATCCTTTACAGAAAAGAATAAACCCCTACGTTCTTTTGCTGTTTAGTTTTACTAGATAATTTTACATTTTGTAGTCTGGCATTTCGTAGTCAAAATCACTGAAACTTCCTGCTGATTAAATAAAAAAATGTTTTACAACAGACAATGTCTTAGCTTGCAATGAGGCATACTGAAAAAAAAAAAAAAAAAAGGTCTGTCCTTGAATATAATTATAAAGAACATGAAGGTAATGGTTATTTTTTTAAGAAATGAATACCACCACAGCGCGATATTACAATAAGAGATAAAAAGTTAATCCGAGTCGATGAATTCCAATTATCTGGGTACAATCGTAACATCAGAAGGAAGATGTATGTCGGAAATTAAAAGCAGAATTAGCCAGGCTAAGGCCGCATTTCACAGAATGAAAAACATTCTGTGAAACAGGTCCCTCTCCTTGGATGTCCGAAAGAGTATTAAACTGTCATGTCGAACCTATATTGCTTTAAGTTAGTGAATCATGGAATGTGAATACATAAATTAGAAAGAACTTGAACGTGACGGAGATGCGGTTCCTCAGACAAATGTTAAGAATACCTTGGACTGGCAGAGTAACTAATGAGGATCGCCTGAAAGTTAATGAATGCAGATCAATTTATACAGTTATCAGGAAAATACAAGCATTATTCTTTGGTCATGTGACTGGGAAGGGCGGGGCGCTTGGGTGAATAATGTGACGTCTGGGAAGATTAACAACAGAAGAGGGAGAGGCAGACCGAGAGAGATGACGGAGGGATTGCACCGGTGACATGAAGATGTATCATCAGTGGAACTGATTCAGAGGACAGAGGACCAATATCTGTGAAGATGTATGATTGCCTACCCCGGTCGATAGGGCACGTGAAAATGATAAATGGTCTCCCCAAAAAAATCAACCAAACTGACATTCAGGTATAATTCCATAACTTCACAAATATAGATACTAGCTGTATATCATACATATCAGACTCACTCATCCTCTCGCTCTCTCTCTCTCTCTCTCTCTCTCTCTCTCTCTCTCTCTCTGTGTGTGTGTGTCTCTCTCTATCTTTCTCTCTCTAGCACGCACACATGCACACACACACACACACACAGCAGAGGCAAAAGAAGGCAGACAAATAAAAGATAGACATCAAATCCCAAGCTAAGCTAACCCAGCAATAATACATAGGCAAAGAACGAAAAAAAAAAAAAAAACAAGAATTATAAAAAGTACACATTTTAATAGTGATAAAACGAAACATTTACCCGCTTTTATATAAGGATTTATTTCTTTAAAAAACCCAGATAAAAAAAAATTTAACCCGAGGCATTATTTTAAAAAAACCAGATTTTGTGGGGAAAAACCCAGTATTGGTAATCCTGCGTTCAACCATTTAGCCATATTGAGTTATGAGTTAGTTTATCTTCACAGCACTTCGGACACATCCATGCCTAAGAAGACCAACCAGAGAGATGAATGGAGGCGGGTGATATCTACAGCAGTGAACGCCAAGGGCTCAGAACGCTGAAGAAGACCAACCAGAGAGATGAGTTGAGGCGGGTGATATCTACAGCAATGAACCCCAAGGGCTCGGAATGCTGAAGAAGAAGAAGTAGTAAAGACTGCTCGTGAAAACAAAATCATTTTTGGCTTTTTGCTTGTTTGCTACAATCATTAGTTTTAAAATATTTTATTTATAATGAAACTTCCAAAAATTAATATTATACGAGGTTATTACAAAAACAAATGCGCTCAGTTTCATAATTCCTTACGCCCCCTGAAACTTCCCCACCCCAGGATTAAAAACCATTGATTTAGAGGGGAAAATAATGTCATCCAGATAGGCAAAATTTATAAGTTTGCTGTGCAGCAATTAAGTTTAATTTTATGACACTAGCAATTAAATTTACTACTTTGTTAGCTGAATTTTAAATACCAGCTTCCGACATAAGGCTCTGCTGTGTGAAAGATGCGTAATGTTTTTCAAAAATCTCAGAGTCTATTGTTCACGTCTGGCGATTTATAAAACGAGTGCTTGGACGTTGATTTAAAAAAAAAAAAACCACACACATGCGAGGATAGACTGCATTTTCACCACACAAAATTGCAAGTAAAAGCGATGAATGAGCATATCTGCTTTAGTCATCCTCTGCTACTGAGATGGCACTGATATATATATATATATATATACTGTTTAGACTATTGGTGTTTAAAGACAAACGTTTATTACATTACCAGTTTTCATTATGTGTGATGTAATTTTTGGCAGTTAGTGTTCACATATCAATATTAAGTAACATTACTATTTGACAAAAAGAGTTTAAATATCAGGTTTCACTAAGTGCAGTTTTATTTTTTCTAAACAAATGTTAAAATATGAATGATTTTGACAGGTGCTGAAATATCAGTTTTCTTTCAGGAACAAAATTTAAGGTGGCTATTCTGACAATAATTGTGAATCTACCATTGCGGTTGCAGTGATGTTTAGTAAAAGTATTCAGCAGAAAGGGTGGCTGGTGATCCCTCTCCTCTACTACATGGTCCTGTTGCACACCTGTACAGGACAATACCCACAGCTGGACAAGTTTCTTGGCCGCTGGCTGGAAGTGAAGCTAGAAGGATTTGAGAAAGTGGCAGATGACTTGGGTACATTTATTAATAATCTATCTGTTTGTTTCTGTATAATTCACTCTTGCTATCTGCCCTTGTTTATTTAATCTAATTGCCTGTCTGCTTGTTTGTCTGTCTATTTATCTGTTTGTTGGTATCCATTTATTAAAAGTTAGGCTTTTTTTTTCGCTAGAAAATAAAAAAGGTGCCGGTACTCACAACTAAATATCTAGTAGTAGTACAGTAGCGCTGTTATTAGTAAGTAGTAAGTAGTAAGTAGTATAGTAGTGTACGTAGTAGTAGTAGTAGTAGTAGTAGTAGTAGTAGTGGTAGTAGTAGTAGTAGTCATAGTAGTAGTAGTAGTTGTTGTTAAAAAAAGTTAGTTGCGTATCTTTTATAGGAAGTTGCAGAATCAACCCCCTGCATTTTATTTGCTGTTGTGGTTTTACTAAGCAAATTTACATCCAGTAGTTTGCCATTGCTTTTTGGATGGTCAACTTCTAGATACCACTGTGGAGACTAACACAAGGCCAGCAGCTGGGATAGAACCCAGCACTCCAGCGTTACGAAGCGCGTTTGCAACGTCTCAGCCACAGACGCCGACTACAGTAATAGTAGTAGTAATAATAACTACTTTACATTTATGTTGTTTTTGAAACAGGTAAAATTTTTAGTAATTACTCTACATTTTCCTAAATGGATAAATAAAAAGATAGACCGACCAGACAGGAGGCAGAGGAATAAACAAACAGACACACAGACAAATGAATGTTGGGTGGACCGACTGACTGACTGATAGATAAATGTAAAAACAGACAGACAAATAGATAGATGGAAGGCACACAGATATATGGAATAGACAAATGGAGGGACAGGCAGATAGATGGTTAGATAAGTAAAAGTTTTAAACAATTACAGTTAAAATGTTAATATTTCAATGCCGAAGTTAATAGTGTAAATCCATCTATCCACAAGACTAAGGCTTAAAGTTATAAATACCTAAATGTGGTAAATAAAATATCAGTCTATGACTGAGGAGAGCAAAAAAAAAAAAAAAAAACATTATATTATCATTTCAAGTTTGAAATGACTCAATGTTGAATTAAGAATGGACATCACAGCAATCGGGACATTCCCATACGTGCTCTATCCCCAGCAAGCGAAGAGTTCAAATTCTGGTGGCACCAGTAACTCTCTGATTGTATATCCGTCTTTTCCTTCCCCTGAGTGTTGAGCGTCGAGCAGATCCCCTGGTAACTCCTTGCAGCGCCATTCTCCTCAGACCATGATGATCTATCTGCGTCTCAGCACTGTTCACTCGATCCCAAAAGGGCTTTTACAACATCTAGCTTGTCATACATCAGTTCACTCCCAAGTGGTGCAGAGCCGGCCAGTCTATCTGCCTGCTCATTTCCCACCACACCTGCAAAACCTGGAGAAAATATCCAAAGGATGCTAACTACCCGGGACCTCTGAAGTAATGCTTCTTCGCTTTAACCATCTGTAAACTCAGGCGGAAAGTTCTAGTTTCTAATCCACTTTTGGACTGCAGTCCTTTTTCCAGAACCTGAGTGTTGCGTGTGCATCTGTTAAACCAATCTGACTCATTTGTGTGCAGACAGCCGGTTCCTTGCCTCTCAGGCAGATGCACTCCAACTTCGAAGAAAGCTCCCAATTAGTCGACTCTTACGACATGCTTTTGGGCCAGCAGTGGGTATATTCTTGTTTTCCCTACAATGGGACCCCGGAACCCACAAGGGAAAGTTTTGTTTCCATTGAAAAATTTATTGATTGATAACTGCTTCACACATTTAACCCTCTCATTACATAGAATAATATTTAAAAGTTTTAAGAGTGGGTGTGCTGTGACATTTTTTTTTTTTTTTTTTTTTTGCCTGATGAAAAAAGTTTTCGAAACGCTGCGTTAACGTATCGTTATCCCAGTTTTGTGACATCAGCAGCATAGCCCGTCAGATAAAGCGGGTTTTAGCTTTACTCGCTGAAAATGAAGCACAACTCCAAAAAGTGATGGACACAATTGTAACAGTAAGTCCAAACAGCGGTCTTAGTTTGATAATTACATTTCTAGCAGGAATACATTTTATTTTGTACAAATATTTTACATTGGCAGGCCTCACAGGGCGCAGCCGGACAATCTTTCAAAACAGCAGATCAGTAGTCGTGTACTCCAGAACTGGTGATTGGTGGACTATACAAGTTGGAGTTGAAGGCGCGCCTCAACTCCAGAGCTACACATTCAAGTTTGGGGAACCCTACTACTCTCTTAACGTCGATGAGACCCCACTGAAGGTGATTTCTTTACCCTGTTTATAATTTTCTGATTTTAGTTTTACAAACAAAGAGAGGATAGGCGAGTCATAAAAGATGAGTTGCCATCTTCGCAAACATCTGTGCACTAGAATAAATTTCGTTTATGTATTTTTCTTTATAAAGTGCCAGTCTTCCATATTCTTTGAAGTAATTCTTTTGAGGTTCTTCTTAATTCTTTCTGCCCCATTTGCAGAATTGAGGTTGGTTTTAATGTAGTCCCAGATTTAGCCGGAAGCTAAAAAAAAAAAAAAAAAGCTATAACCTAGAGCCTCACAGTCTGCAGGAACATGAACAAATTCCCTTTTTTCCCCAAAGTTTTCTTTTGATATATTTTTAATGCAGTTTTCTTTTAAATTAAATATTTTTTTTTCAGTCACGTTAAGAGACCCAACAGTGAGAGTTATCTCCCTTTCTGTTAATAACTTGATCCGGTGTAGGGCCTCTACTATGTCGCAGGGGAGCATCGTAGGTCGCACGACTGTGTGCAGCTTATAGTAGAGGCTGCATACAGTCGTAAGCCATAGCCTGAGGCTGTGAAGTAGGGGGTTGGGGTTAGGCCCAGTTGTACAACTTTTGGGACAGTTAAAAGCAGTCACAGGATAGAAGACTCGGTATCTCTGGCCGCTGACAAGGAGTAAAATACGACTCACTATGACTGAAACCCCTCCGACATAGTGCAGTCGCTAAACCAGATTGAGGCATCAATGGAAAGGGAGGTTCCTCTCATTGTTGGGTCTCGTACCTAAAAAATTTTTTTATTGTTTTTAGATGATTATGTAATACAATTTATGTGATTTTGCAAATTACATTCTTTTTTTTTTTTTCTTTAAAAAAAATTAAACTATAATGTATTTCCATTATCTATGTATTTAAAAGGTCTATATATTTTTAAGTTGTTGCTATTAGCTGAAAAAACTTTAAATGTTAAGGGCCTAAGGGCATATCAAATCTAATTCCCGCTCTACCCTTCTCACAGCCTACTCAACTGTGATGTTGAGTGTGATTTTGAGTTTGATGGTGGCTGTGATGGTGGCTGTGATGGTGACTGATGGTGACTGTGATGTTGAGTGTGATGTTGAGTGTGATGGTGGCTGTGATGGTGACTGATGGTGACTGTGATGGTGAGTGTGATGGTGGCTGTGATGGTGACTGTGATGGTGACTGATGGTGACTGTGATGTTGAGTGTGATGATGGCTGTGATGGTGACTGTGATAGTGACTGTGATGTTGAGTGTGATGGTGGCTGTGATAGTGACTGATGGTGACTGTGATGGTGGCTGTGATGGTAACTGATGGTGACTGTGATGGTGACTGTGATGTTGAGTGTGATGGTGACTGTGATCGTGACTGTGATAGTGACTGATGGTGACTGTGATGTTGAGTGTGATGGTTACTGTGATGGTGGCTGTGATAGTGACTGATGGTGACTGTGATGGTGCCTGTGATGGTGACTGATGGTGACTGTGATGGTGACTGTGATGTTGAGTGTGATGGTGACTGTGATGGTGACTGATGGTGACTGTGATGGTGACTGTGATGTTGAGTGTGATGGTGGCTGTGATGGTGTGTGTGATGGTGGCTTTGATGGTGAGTGTGATGGTGGATGTGATGGTGACTGTGATAGTGGCTGTGATGGTGGATGTGATGGTGACTGATGGTGACTGTGATGGTGGATGTGATGTTGAGTGTGATGGTGACTGTGATGGTGGCTGTGATGTTGAGTGTGATGTTGACTGTGATGGTGACTGATGGTGACTGTGATGGTGGCCTTGATGGTGTCTGATCGTGACTGTAATGTGGCTGTGATGTTGAGTGTGATGGTGACTGTGGTGGTGGCTGTGATGTTGAGTGTGATGGTGACTGTGATGGTGACTGATGGTGACTGTTATGGTGACTGTGATGGTGACTGTGATGGTGACTGTGATGGTGACTGTGATGGTGACTGTGATGGTGACTGTGATCGTGACTGTGATGGTGACTGTGATGGTGGATGTGATGGTAACTGATGGTGACTGTGATGGTGGCTGTGATTGTGACTGATGGTGGCTGTGATGGTGGATGTGATGGTGGCTGTGATGGTGACTGTGATGGTAAGTGTGATGGTAGATGTGATGGTGGCTGTGATGGTGACTGATGGTGGCTGTAATGGTGGATGTGATAGTGGCTGTGATGGTGGATGTGATGGTGGCTGTAATGGTGGATGTGATGGTGACTGATGGTGGCTGTAATGGTGGATGTGATGGTGGCTGTAATGGTGGATGTGATGGTGGCTGTAATGGTGACTGTGATGGTGACTGTAATTGTGGCTGTGATGGTGGGTGTGATGGTGGCTGTAATGGTGGATGTGATGGTGGATGTGATGATGACTGTGATGGTGACTGTGATGGTGACTGTGATGGTGGCTGTGATGGTGGATGTGATGGTGACTGTGATGGTGACTGTGATTGTGACTGTGATGGTGACTGTGATGGTAGCTGTGATTATGACTGTGATGATGGATGTGATGGTGGCTGTGATGATGGATGTGATGGTGACTGTGATGGTAACTGATGGTGACTGTGATGGTGGCTGTGATTGTGACTGATGGTGGCTGTTATGTTGACTGTGAGGGTGACTGTGATGGTGACTGTGATGGTGACTGTGATGATGGCTGTGATGTTGACTGTGATGGTTACTGTGATGGTGACTGTGATGGTGGCTGTGAGGGTGACTGTGATGGTGGCTGTGATGGTGGCTGTGATGGTGACTGTGATGTTGACTGTGAGGGTGACTGTAATGGTGACTGTGATGGTGACTGTGATGATGGCTGTGATGTTGACTGTGATGGTGACTGTGATGGTGACTGTGATGGTGGTTGTGATGGTGACTGTGAGGGTGACTGTGATGGTGACTGTGATGGTGACTGTGATGGTGACTGTGATAGTGACTGTGATGGTGGTTGTGATGGTGACTGTGATGGTGACTGTGATGGTGACTGTGATGGTGACTGTGATGGTGGCTGTGATGGTGACTGTGATGGTGGCTGTGATGATGGCTGTGATGGTGACTGTGATGGTGACTGTGATGGTGACTGTGATATTGGCTGTAATATTGGATGTGATGTTGAGTGTCATGGTGACTGTGATGGTTAATGTCATTGTGGCTGTGATATTGAGTGTGATGGTGACTGTGATATTGAGTGTGATGGTGACTGTGATGGTGACTGTGATAGTGGCTGTGATGTTGAGTGTGATGTTGACTGTAATATTGAGTGTGATGGTGACTGTGATGGTGACTGTGATAGTGGCTGTGATGTTGACTGTGATATTGAGTGTGATGGTGACTGTGATATTGAGTGTGATGGTGACTGTGATATTGAGTGTGATGGTGAGTGTAATGGTGGCTGTGATATTGAGTGTGATTGTGACTGTGATGGTGACTGATGATGACTGTGATGGTGCGTGTGATGGTGGGTATGATGGTGACAGAGAAGACGACTGGAATTATGATTGATGGTGACTCTGATGATTGCTGTGATGGTACTGTGATAATTACTGTGGGAATAATTGACAGTTCTTTATTGTTGTTGAGATTAATTTCACTGAAGAAAATAAAGGTAAAAAGAACTGCAACTTTTAAAAATGGAAATAACACACGATACATGTTATACTGACCCCGACAGGGCGTGGTACTCCCAGAAAATGACCGGTTGGTGGGTAGATACGAGAGCCTCAGCGGGCCCTATTATGTGATGGACGTTGTCTGGGATGTTCAAGGCGATGCCATGACAACTGTAAGTGTCTCATTCATTGTAAGTTGTTATCGTGACGTGTGGTCTAGTCCTAGAAGGTCACCCAAAATGGTGTCACAACATAAATATATTTTTTATGTCTCATAAAATGTTAAAGTATGTTTAGTTTTAAATTTTGTTTTACCGAGTATTAATTTCACCGCTGATGGGAGAGGCAATGACAGTGTCCATGTTTAGTCATTTGTAGTTTATAAACAACTGCACAAATGCAACTTTAGGTTAATGTGTAGTGAGCTAGAAGGCTACTGAATGATACAAGCAGTGAATGGTGCTGATATGGCATACGTGAACGTTTTTTTTTTAAACTAACCAATCAGAGATTGATATTGGAATAGCCCTCGTAGTAGTAGTGTTAGTAGTAGCTGCAGTGGTAAGTAGTAGTAGTAGAGGAAGTAGTAGTTGAAGTAGCAGAAGGCTGGGAAGAAAATAAAAGAAGAAAAGACAGTGCTGGTGGTGGTAGTGGTGATAGCGGCGGGGGCAGTGGTGGCGGCGGCAGCGGTGGTGGTGGTGGTGGTGGTGGTAGTAGTAGTAGTAGAAAACAAAGAAGAAGACAAAAAAAGGTACTAATAGTGGTAGTAGTAGTAATTGTCATAATAACAGTAGTAGTACTGGTGGAGGTTGTAGTAGTGGTAGTGGTAGTAGTAGAAATAGACGTAGCGGTCACTGTGGTGATAGTAGTGGTAGAAGTAGTAGTAGTATTGATGGTAGTGGTATTAGTAGTAGAAGTGGCAGTGGTGGTTGCTGTAATAGTAGTAGTAATAGTAGTAGTAGTAGTAGTAGTAGTAGTAGTAGTAGTAGTAGTAGTAGTAGTAGTAGTAGTAGTAGAAAACAAAGAAGACAAAGAAAAAAGGTACTAATAGTGGTAGTAGTAGTAGTAGTAATTGTCATAATAACAGTAGTAGTACTGGAGGAGGTTGTAGTAGTGGTAGTGGTAATAGTCGAAGTATTTGTAGTGTTGATGGCAGTGGTGGTAGTAATAGAAGTGATAGTGGTGGTTTCTGTAGTAGTTGTAGTAGAAGTAGTAGTAGTAATAGTAGTAGAAGAATATGTAGCAGTAGAAATAGTAGTAAAGGTAATAGTAGAGGTTGTTTCTGCTGTTTTGTTGCTGTGATTTAGTATGTAGTAGTAATAATAATAGTATTCGTTGTAGTATATTCGTATAGTGCCACAGCAAATTTAAGACTATGCA